CTACGTGGTCGTCTATGCATATATATATATATATATATATATATATATATATATGCGCATGTGTGATACTCTTGTTTCCGTCTTTCTCGCTCTCTTTCATTTTTGTGTCCATGCATGGATGCCCCTACTCTTCTGTTTGGCCACAGTTTAAGGTTTGTGTTGTGTTTAAGGAAGTAGCGGAGGAGGCGCTGGAGGGGAAAGATAGAAGAAGGCGGGAAATTAAAAAGGTACTTGGGTAAAAGGGTACCTCTAGAGGCGTGTGATACTTACCGCTATCATGCCTGCAGCAGAGACTTCAACGCTCATCGGCTTTCTCCAACAGCTCCGCGGAACGCTTGTGGAGATTGAGCTGCTGGACTCCTCTATCGTCTCTGGCGAGATTACATTTGTGGAACCAAGCATGAACACTCACATGCGTCATGTGAAGATTACTGCAAAGGGGAAAAATCCGGTGCAGGCGGAGACCTACATGTTGCGAGGAAACACAATCCGCTACGTGATTCTCCCCGAGGCTATGAACACAGACGACGTCTTGAAGAAGGCGACTGCTGCACAGCACAAGACGAAGAGCTAAAGCGAGTCGAAGGAAGAGACCCACAACAGTTGGAGATGAAGCGATGGGGAGGTTAAGACGGGGTTGATCATTAAAAGGGTGCTGTAGTGTGAGGGTCAGCGCTTGTGTCATCCGTCATTTGTTTTACGCAGTTTGTGTGTGTGTCTTCTATCATTTTTGATCTCCACTTGACTCTTCGCTCGTGTTTTTAAAAAATTAAATGGATATGGTGGCAACAGCCCATCGCTGCCTGCAGATCGCCTTGTGTGATGAGGTGGTGGGTGGGCGTCTGTGCACCTCCGGTCATGCAGGCCTGTGTTTTTCTTATTTGGTTCTTTGACAGCTTTCACTTTGTTGTTCATCACCGTCACTCGTGCCTCTTTCCCCGCCTTTTCTGCTTGTTGCGTTCCCCTTTGCTAGCGAAAGTGAGTAGGCGAGCGCGGGCACAAACCCACAACGTAGGAGTGACGCATATCCACCGAGAAGTGGAGAGGAGGGAGCGTGGAAGAAGCTTTCCGTTAGGCCCCACCGTTTTTTTTTCTGTTTTTTTTTAAAAATTTATTTACACAGGTAGACTTGAGTTATAGTTAGAGGGGGGTTTGTGTCACAGCGGGAAGAAAGCGCATAAAACATTTAAAAAGGGCGTAGAAGGAAACTGCGTGTGGTCAGTGTGTGCCTGTGTGTATCAACCGTGTCTAATTTATTTATTTTTTTGATCACGTGAGGTCCGTTTCTCTTGCTTCGTTGGTCCTTATCATTTCTGCCGAAATGGATGCTGCGGCATGTCGTCGGCTTCAGCACCGCATGGAGTCCCATGGCAGGGCGGCTAGCTGCCAAACATCATGCAATATATGTGGTTTCCACTGCAGCTGCCCGCCACATGTGCAGCACGAGGGACACAGGGGTGATGACGTTTTTCGTGGCTGCTGTGGTGCTGGTGATGGACACCTGAATCGTGGCGCGTCGTTTTTGCTGCCCTCTACTGCCCAGGCTTGGTTGCTACAGCTGGTGGAAGGCGCGGAAGTGGACATCACCGATGGTGGAACAGATCACCGGCGACGTATATCGTGCTGCTGTTCTTGTTGTCATGGGTATCATCACTTGTTTCACACACGAAACGGTGGTACAGCTGGTGTTCCTTTGAAGCCGCGGGAACGTGAGAAGGTTGAAAGGGGGGAAGTGTTGATGGAAACATGCACGAGGCGCACATGCTCTCCAGAAAGAACGTCAACCACATTGCCCACCGCCACGTCGGCGGCGCACCCTTACCCAGATGTCACAGCGAACGGTGTGGGAGAGACCACAGTGGCCGGGAGCGCGCACGGCGCCCAGCAGGATCTGCCATTCAAGCCGTCCAAGTCATCCTTGACACTGGCTCCGTTAATTCGGCTTGCCGAATCCACACCCTCGCGCGCGCCCGCTGCGGGCGATAATAGAAGCGCTGAGAGGGGCGGCTATGGCCAAGCCCGTCCTGGCATTTTGCCACACGAGTACGGAGGCCCATCAGAGGGGAGTATTGAAGTGCGTCAACCAGCGTGCGCATTTACGCACACTTCTTTTCTTCCCGTTCCTCGTTCATCAGACCAATCAGCGCCACCGCAGAGTTTGAGGTCAGTTGAGCTTTCAGTCCCTGTGTCAGCACCGCCACAACCGCCATCTTCGACAGGGCCAGCAATGGCCGGCACAGATAAGGATGCTCCAAAAACAACCATTGATGCAGTTGCCGCTGCGCAACATACGCACGCCTACGGGATTGCACCGGTCGTCCCCACTGGCAACCTGTCACTCGGAAGTTTGCCGGTTCTCACTGAGCTAGCTCCGGTGCCGAGGCCCGACAGTTCACAGAGAGTCGGGTCATCCCTTTCCGGTACTGTCCCACTACCGCCACGCCAAGTGTCCTTTTTGGAATCATCTGTTGTCCCACAAAGCCCAGTCCCACATCTCTTGGCAACACCCGTTCTGCAGCCAACCGTACAAGACACCCCAGTGAGGACGGCGGCATCTCAAATGGCTTCGGTGACGGGGCCAGAGGCTCCAGCTCTGACTCCTGTGACAACCTCCAATGTGCAGCCAACTCCGGCAGTGGTGTCTCCTGAGCCTACATCCACCGATGTGATCAATGCGCTGCGGGAAAAGTTGTTGTTGGAAAAGGCTGACGCCTATGTGCGTGGTTTGGAGCGGCAGCAGGAGGAGCGTTTGGCTCAAGAAGATGAGAGACAGCGTTCAAAAAATTATGCACATGTATTGGAGCTGTTTGCCCGCCTCTGTCAGGAGGATCGCGAACTACTTGAGGCGATGTATGAAAGCAGCATGCATCCGGTGGAGGCCTCTCCGCCCAGCCCGGCCTTTGTCGGGCAAAGCCCTTCTTCTCCACAAGAAGGGATGGGGACCACAACACCCTCTCAACCCAAGTCGCCACCGCTTCCAGAGGAAGTGATGGCGGCTTACAAGGTGGGTGCAGGGAACATGGTGCCGTCGGTGTCACAACCGCAGCCCACAGTGCCAACGCAGGTGGAATTACCACCCCCGCTACCGCCACCGCCGGTCGTCGTTACCGCGCCACCAACTCCACAAATATCAGCCGCCACAGCTTTACCGACACCTCAGTCGCGACACGTTCCGCCAGAAGCACCTCCATTGATATCTACGGCAGTACCATGGGGAGCGGCAGATGGAACGATGAAGGCATGGGTGGACCAGCACTTTGGGTCTTCTTTGGATCCACAGCACCGTGCGCTCTTGCAACATGTTTTGCTTTCCAGAGAGGCAGAGATAAGACGGGTGGCCGCTGCAGAATCCCAATGTAAAAAACTTGAGGCGCAACGCGTTGATGCAACAAACTCCGGTGTGCCGTTGGGCGCTGAAGAATGTGCTCGAACGAATTTGAATCAATGGCAACAGGAGCATAATATAGAGTTGACAAGAGCGCACGATCAATTGCATGCAAGGGAAGAAGAACTCATTGCACTCCGAAAGGCCCAGGAAGAGCAGAAAGCGAAGTTGGACGAGCTTACACGATCCATGCAAAGCCATTCCGTGCTGTTGGGAGGTGTGAGCGCTGGCGAGGAAACGGATGAGTTGCGTCGATGGAAAATGCGATGCGACGCTGTCGAGCAACAGCACCGATTTAGTGTTCAACGCCTGGAGGAACTACAAGCATATATTGAGCAGCTACGCAATGGTGCTCAGAAGGCAGTCATGAATGTCGCTTCCTCCGGTGCGACCGCTCAACCCGTGCCATCAGACACAACAACTGTACCCCTGTCTTCTGTGAATGCCTCGCCGCCACAGAGCTATTCGGAAACAGTTACACCGTACGAAAGTGTATCTTTTGGCAAGCCTCCTACGGTCCCTAGTTATTCGGCACCGCCATACATGGCTGGTGGTGCGTTCGCTGCCGCGTCGACACGGCGAGAGAGTCCGGTCACAGGTGCATTGAATTCACCCCAGCCTCGTTCGGATGCCGTTAGTCCTTCCACTGCTAGCATGGAGCGGGCGGCAGCGTTGAAGCAGCTTCGTGAGGAGATGGATGTGGAATGTAGTCGATTTGCCCACGAGACACAACGCTGGCAGGAGTACGTCAAGCATCAAGAAGAGAGATGGTTACAGCTGCGCCGCCAGTGAGAGGGGAGCGCATCTTTCCCTTTTTTTGTGTGTGTCCGTTTGTATGTGTTTATTGATCAGCTCTTCTTTCTTTGACTGCGTTTGTACTTGGTGGGAGTCCTGGTGTGAAAGGCTTCTTTCAACGGGCCGGTCTGTATATATATATATCTGTATATATATATAGAGAGAGAGAGATAGAGAGACATAGATAGATGGAGGGGAGGACGGTGAGGTTGGGCGAAGGCTGCAGTGTACTACTTCTATTACCATGTCCTTCATTGCGGCGTGGAATTATAGCGCCTTATTATTATTATTATTATTATTCCTTTTTTTTTTGGGGGGGGTAGGAGGAGGGGTTCACCTACACTTTATTTTATTCCTAGTCCAGTCAAATGGCTAAGAGTTGATGCAATTCATTTTCCCTCCTTTCCCCCCAACTCCTTTTTTTTGTTTCTTTATTCCACACGCACACACACACACACACACATGTTTTGTGCCTTTGTGTGCGTGCCCGGTTTTTTTTTTGCACCTTTTCTTCTCCCCCTTCTTTGTCCTCACATCATTTCACGCATCCTGGCCGACAGATAACTGACCGGACTGCTGCAACTTTGGTAGCGGTGGGGGTGGGGGTGAAGACCGTTTATTCATCCCCCACAAAAGTAAATATAGATAAGACACACTTTCTTCCGGTTATCACTGCACATACATATATACGCATACGCTGTTAACTTAAGTACTTTGGGCGTCTATAGAAGAGGGGTGAGGGCAAAGGAAAAGAGGAGACCGCAGCAGTCGATTGTGTTTGTAATTTTCTTATTCATTTACTTTTTTTTCCTATACGCATGACCAGTTCGGACACGACCGTGGCGCCTATAGGCGCGACGGCGGTGGAGGAGGATATTCGCAACATTGTGGAGGGGGCGGCGCAGCGGCAAGAATTGGAGTCTAGCGTCGATGTCTTTCTGCGGAGTAATGCGAGACACAAGGCAGCTGATGTTTTGCTGGCACTCTCTGCATACACGTTTGGCGGCCTCATGCACGTGCGTGGTCAAGGCACGGCACTCACAAGTCTTTCCATGTGGGCCTCAGGCACCACCTTCCTTCTTAACATGCAGGTGCGCAAAGTATTTGAAATTGAGGATGCAGCAAGGCGTCATCAGGTGGCGGCAGGAATGAGCCTAGAAGAGAAGAACGTGTTTCAATTGGAAACGGTGGCGTCGTGGGTCTGGATGCTTACTTCGATGCAGCAGTTCAAAGCTTATAAACTTATGAAGTATTGCGGCTACAGCAGTTGGACGGGATTAGGTTGTTGTATGTACTTCACGCTGCGGCACATGTACAATGTGATGTTGCTTGACTAGGTACATGAAAGTGACGTGAGCAGAATATTAAGAAGAGGAAATATATATTTTTTAGGGATATGTTGCTTTCTCTTCCTTGTCGAACACGTGCATGCTTGCCTTTTTGTGTTGTTGTGTCTCTTGGCAATGGGGTCGAGTTGTTTGAGGAGCCTGATGGGGGTTGTGCTTTTGCCCTTTGGAGGCATGTTTGTTTGTTTCTTTCTTTCTTTGTTTTTGTTTTTGCCCGGCACGAGCTTTTGAAGCCAAGGAACTGAAAGAATACTCTGCTGGTGTCTGTCTCTCTCTCTCTCTCTCTCTCTCTCTCTTGCAGCTGGTGAGAAGAACAACGATGTCATCTTGTGTGGCAACGGAGGGGCGGAGGCTGTATGACCCCAACACGGAGGGCGTTGGCTGCACCCGAGAACAGCAGGTGCTGTTAGAGCTCAAAACCCTTCTCGGGTGGACGCCGTCAGTGACGCTTGACGCCTCTGTTGACGCCTTCATCCTCCGGTATTTGTCTGCGGTGCACTTCTCCGTTTCGGAGGCGGCGGCTCTGCTGAAGCAACGGCGCTCCTATGAGGTGAGTTTGCCCTCACTACATATCACCGCCCCGGTGGTGGATGTTTTGCGCAGTGGTGCAGTCTCTGTCATTGGCCGTGACGTGTTGGGTCGGCCAGTTCTGTACGTCACGACCCACCACATCTCTCAGTCTGTGCTTGAGACCGAAGATTTGCAGCGCCTCGTTACAGTGCTGATGGAGTACATGCTGTCGTACTGCGCGCAGGCGCCTGCGTCACCACCAAATGGAAATGGGGGTGGAAGCACGTTGCCACAAGAACACCAACAGGAAATCATACTTTTAGTGAATGAGGAAGTTTCATTGTGGCATGCCAGCCAGGCGGCACTAGCCAACTTGAACGCCATCTGCAGCGTTGTTTGTAAATACTATCCACGATTTGTCAGGTTGGTACTTCTCTTTCAGCCTTCATTGGATGTACGGCATGGAATTAAAGCAGCCTTTGGTAAAAAGTTGGAGGAGTCGATGCGTGTGGTACAGGTGGTCACACGGGGAAATATTCAAAAGTATATTGATCGCTCTGTCCTAACCCTAGAACTGGGCGGTAGCAACACATCGGTTGCGTCGCCTGATACATTTACTGACGCTGTTCTTTCTCACTGGTTCAACGTGAGAAGTTATTTGACTATAGAGGACACCAAGACAAGGCCACTGTGGCAGCTTCCACCATCCTTTGTAAACATTGGTGACTGGAGCCTTCTCCAGCGCCGTGCAGTGGCCACCACCGCAGCATCCCCCGTGATACTCAGCGCAAGAGGCAATCAGTGTGAGCGCATATCATGCACTTCCCGCCCCTCAACCGCCTTTCTTGGGGCCTCGGAGGAAGATGAGGGCTTTTGTTCTGCCATCTCCGAAGGAGAGGATTTGGCTCACATCAATGGTAACCTGTGGGTTACACCCAGGGATGTCTCTGTTGATATTGATGCAGTGAACAATACATCGTCATCCGTGCTGGTGCAGGAATTACAGAAGGAGCGGGATCTTAGAATAGCGGCCGAGCAGCAGTTAAAGAAAATTCGGCTTGGTATTACGCTTGATTTGGCAATAGCAACGGAGGTCGAACGGACCCTCACATGCATACACTCAGAGTTGAATGTTCTTGTAGGAAATGTTGTTGTTCGCGCAAAAGATGCGGCTGCAAACGGCTCTCCCCCAACCCTTGTGCAACTTCTCGATTTGACACTATCGGCGTTAGAGCTGGCGGCTCATAAAGTGCAGCGTGTTCCGGCGATGAAGTTTGCGGTGTCTGTGAGCCAAACCACACCGCCTAGCACATCTTGTTGCTGCATGATGTAGATCCACCTATTTATTTTTGTTGTGTTTGTTGTCTGCTCTTTTCCATGTCCCCCCCCCCCCCTTGGATTGAGCGGCAGCCCCCAATTGACGCACTGTTTTTTTTTTTTTTGAAGCGCTTGGCATGAATGTGTCATAAGGGGGAGAACAAAAACAAACAATAAATGTGTAGGCAGCTTGCTTGTTCTGTGTGTTTCTTTGTTGCCTACTTGATTTTTGGATCCAATGAACACCGCGTTGGAAGGTAGTGCGTGCGGTTCCTTGTTGTTGCTCTTGTTGTTAATGTTATTACCTTTTTTTTCTTTTTTTTCTTTTTTTGAGCCCTCCTACCGAATAAACTTCTGCAGATGATAATACCCTTTACGTAGAGGGGCTCCGGGGAGTGCTGGGTCCAAACGAGGGACACTTTGTGGGTGCACAACCGATCCTGTTTTTATGGTTATACTTCGTTATGCACGAACTGGCATACTGGTGGATGGATGTGTGGCGATAGATCTCCTTGGAGCTGGTGCTGGACTGAGTCCGCGGACGGAGCCAAGCTCTTCTATCGCTTTTTTTTGTTTTATTCCTTTCCCTTTGTATGAGGATATAGCGAAAGCCCTTAGGCGGACGCCCATTCTGCGGTAAAGTTTGGCGGACGATGTATTCTTCCATTGTGAACTATTTGATTTTATTGGCCTTGACGTACTTAGTTCTTGCGCTCATCAGGAACATTGTGACGCTGCTGGAGCTCTTTCGCATGCGTCGTTCAATCCTGAAGGGGCGATCACCCATCACCATTCCATTTACGGTATTCACCACACGTCCGGTGAATGAGGCGGTACGGGCGCAATTGGCAAACAGGGCGGCCTCGTTGCGTGGGTCATCGGTAGTGCACGGTCTCAAGTTACCGCTGCAACTCTGCCCTACTCCCCATGCACATGTTCAATTAAAACTTAGTAATCCTACGACTGTGTTTCCCACCGAAACTGCATCCCCTGTGTTCCCCCCTAAGAACAACGTCAGCGACCACGATAGCCTTTCGTCGCGTCGTGAGAAGTCAGCGTCGCAGCTCTTACACTCTGGTGGTTGTGGCAGTCAGGAAGCGGCGTGTCATGGCAGTGGAAGCGCAATGAAAAATGGTACGTTACTACCCAGTGACACACACTCACGACGTGTGTGTCACTTCAGCTGCGACGCTTCCGAGCACCGCGCTGGGCGTCCACTTGGTGAAGCTGGCGGCAGGCATTGCAAACGGGGAGGGAGTAGTGCTGTGGCGCCCTGGATGGCCCGCTCTCAGTTTTCGCTTCATTTCCGGCTGAAAACAGCGGTGCGAGTCAAGGCTTTGTGGCTTCGACGCATCCGGGCAAAGAAGAAGTTGGGAGAAAAGGTTAGAAAAAAATATCCTCTTACATTTTCTGAATTGCATTCTATTGCCGATAGCTTGACAGTTGAAGAGACGAACCCGAGCACACCGGCGACAGAGGGCGACAGTGAGAGCTGCAATTTAGCTACGTATCTGCGCTGTGCGTATCTATTTGGTGCGGACAGTGCAGACATCATGCGGGCCGTTACTGTGGACACCACATGCACGTTTGGATCCGGCTCGCACTCTTATCATTGCTACTACACCGCCGAGGATGAGGAAAAGTGCGTCCAGTCGCGGGCGCAGCTTGACTGGCACAATCGACCGTGGCTGGGTTCACGTTTTGGGGGTGGCGACCACATACCATTAATGTCGTCGTCAGTGGCTTGCCACGATGACTCTGTGACGCACACTAGTCTCCCATTGCAGCGCCAAAATCAACGTGCCATGTTCAACTCCACGACATCAGTTGGGGATATGTTGTGCTCACACAGGTCACTTGACTCGTACTCAATGATGCTCGAGCAAGCACGCTCGTGTGGCCGCAGCATGAAGTCTAACGTGGTGACGGAAACCTTTGTGGATGTCTCTGAGAGGATGCATGTGACCAATGAAAGCAGCACATGTGAGCGCGGAGGACAGGAGGAAAGCAAAGATGCCGAAATAAATGAAATGACGTCGTCGACAGATTCATATGAAGCACGCAAAACGACAGAGTCCACTGACGATCACAGGTTTGCTACGGCGGTTTCTGCAGCTGCTTCGGTATTGTCTGCACCGTCATCCTCATCATCTTGGAAAGAGACCTCTTCGAACGACAAAGCCAACACATTAGATTTATCGAATAGTCAAGGTGCCACACTTTGTACAGAGCCGCAGCCGATGACCGGCGTTGCTTCCGGTACCGATTCTGCTTCTGTTTTTGCTGCTCCTGCCGAAGAGACGGAGATCACCTCAACTCAAACGGAGGGTGCAACTACTATGCGCGACCCTCCCAACGACACGCATACCTCTGCGGGCCATGTTCCCGAGGTTAGTGAAAACGCTAACGTGACAAAACCTTCACTAAGGATTCTTACTGGCCGACTGCAGGAATCTGTGGACATTTTGCCAACAGAGCCGCTGCAAGATCCCACCGTTCCTATGTTGTACGAGGGATCCATATCTATTGCTCCGGATATCCTGAAGTTGGATACAAAGGCAATTGCTTCCACCGCGACGGCGTCAACTTCTTTACCGGAGTCTCTGCAGGTGGATGTTGTGGATCTTGTCCTTTCAACTATCCAGACGTGTTGCCTGGAAAACTCCACATCCGCGTCAGGTGGAGAAGTGAACGTGGTGAGCGGCCGCGGTGGAGGAGGAGGAGAAGGGGGAAGTGACGCATATGGAGAACGGGTGGCGATGAAGCGAAAGACGTGGGGTGGAACGAGTGGTCAAGACAGCGAACACAAGGAGCAACAAAACGACACAAATGTGGCTTGCAGACAACCACTGGCGTTTGCTCTCATGTTGTACAGACAAAAACCAAGAGGAAAGCGCTGCACTGTGCGTGGCAAACGGCAAGCAGCAAGTAAAAGTAAACAACTGGAAACAGAGTTATTTATATGTGTGTATTCCACCACCAACTCTATGGAAAATACGGCATCACCACCTTTAAGGGCAGGAACATCAAGAGGGCCACCTCGTCAGGAGTCATTTAGCCCGCATGGGTCGACGAATACGAATGTTTACCGTGAGATGGGTAGCACATACTCTTCGTCCACTGCAGAGGAAATGCAAAACTTTTCCAGGCAACGGCGGCGGGGCTTACCTACACCAGAACACCTTCCTGCCTTCATGGAGGATTCGCGAAGTGGACGTGGAGCAGTGATGCCGCTGACGCTGCAGTATGTACGCATTGGAAATGATCTCTATGCCGTTACAGAGGTTTTAGATCGCACCTTTGTGCAATACAGAGAGGAGCGGGCTCTTTTGGGACGCGACGGCGGTACTGAATCTTCTTTTGATGTCTCTGGTACTGCAACCGGTGAGAAGGCCGCTGTCGGAAAAGTTGGACGGCTGTCCTCGTATTCCGTGGGCGCCGCATCATACTCGCTTGCATCGTCACCGCAAATGGGTGTGCGTCATCAGATGGTGCGCATGTGTTGGCTATGTTTGCGCACGGAGGCCAACATTGTTCTTTTGCCATGTGGGCATTTTCTTCTTTGCCGTGCCTGCGCGGATAATTTGACTCACTGCTGCATTTGTCATAGCGTCATTCATGCCACCGTTTTATTACATGAGGGCACCACAAGCGAAACTGAGGTGTGATGTAAGAAGTTGTGTTTACTGCTATTTTATTTTCTTTTATCTGCGTTTTGTCCCTGCGCTTTTGACTGTGTGTAAGTAGGCCTGTTTTTTATTCCTCTATGTTTTTCCGCTGCCGCCGCTGGAGTTGCATTCAACCCCGTCTACACGTGAGGTTTGACCGAATACGGAGCGAGTGGCGTGAGTGAAACCGCGACAAGAGCGACCCTCATCCCTCCCTCTTTGTTGGGACTCAGTTCTGCCTGGGTCTGGGTGTGCTGGTCATGTTCCTTTTTATTTTGCTTTTTTTTTGTTCCTATTCTCTTTGCCAGTGAGCGCACGCACTGGCGCATACATGCGGGTCACCCTCGCGGCAACAGCAAGCATCATTGTGTCACACAAATTCATTCTTTCATTTATACGGCATTGCACTTACAAGACTCATCTACAAGCGGCGTAGGGTTGGGTACAGACATACAAGGAGGTGTGGGAAGAGCAGGAGGAAGGTGTTCGTGCCAGAGAAGGGGTTTGACAGGTGGAACGGGGTGAAGAAGAGAAGGAGGGAAGACGGAACGGCCGTCTGTGAGAGTTGTTTGCATTACAAGAGCTGAAATCAAAAGGAAAACAGCAACAGCAACAAAAAAAGGTCTTTGAAAAGGAGAGGGAATAGGTTGGAAGAGAGGCGCAGGTAGTTATTATTATTATTATTATTCCCTCCGCATGTTGGGAACCACCTCAGAAGAGGCGTGTGGAGGAACCCCTTTTTTTGGGGATGACGTCATCTCTGTCATTGCCGCCATGATGCAGTCGGTGACGGCGCAAGAGGTGCGAGAGGCACTGCAGCAGGATGACGACTTTGGCTGCCGATTTCTTTGGACGGATTCATCGGCATTGGAAGAGACTGCGGGGGCGGAGCATCCGCCGTCCTGCGGCAGTAGCAGCGGCATGGGCATCCGAAGCCAAGCGACAACCTCATACCTGGCGGTGTGCGAGTTTGTGGAGCGTCACGCTGAAGAGGAGGTGGTGGCGGGGCATCATGTGGTAGCAACGCATGACTTGTCAGCAATCTTTCAACGACGCTCAGGGCCCTCCCTCACTTCGGCTTCCTCGGCGCCCCCAAATAAGGATGGAGCAGCAGACATGACTCCGGGGACAACGTCCATCTCAGGAAGAATGGCGAGGGCCACAGTGTCACAATCGTTGTTCTCGATGCCACCTCTGCCATTATCAGCCTTGTCGTCACGGGTGATGATACGCTGTGTCCTCATTTCACGGCGCCATCCCGTCAGTGAGTCAGAGGCAGCAAAGACAAAGCCTCTCACGTTGCGGCATCTTAACATCTACGCAATTGAGATGCAGCAACCACTAGAAAGTTTACGGGTGCTTTTAGAGAGTGTGTATGAGCCACTTCTTCTCTCCCAGCGTGAGGTTACACTGCGGTCACAAATGCAAGACTTTCTTAGCTCTATCCGCTCACACTGTAACGTTTTGGCCGAGGTCGATCTGAACGTTTTTGTGCACGCCGACCTCCTTGAGCTTTGTGCCGCGTACCCAGAAGCGGATGTTGAGCATTTATTGGAGATTCTTGGTCCTGAGAGATGCACCGATGCCACATGTTTGCGCCAGGTCATGGCTCTTCGCAGCCAGTGCCGGGAGGTCTTGGAGACCAAATTTGATGGAAGAGAAATTGTGAGCTCACGTGACGAGGTGGCGTACTGGCATGCGGTGCTGCGTTGGGTCGAACAGGTGCAAAAACAGCTCCAAAGTCGCGAGTGGCAGTTGGTACATCGTCTACTGGGCAATCGCGTGGAAACAAGCTATGAGGTGGAGTTTAAAATGCATGAAAAACGTGTGCGTGACTACTTGGCCTATCTGAAAAGTTTACCCTTTAGGAAGATTGATGAGGTGGAGGAAGACAGTTACGCGGTGTTGGTGGGGGAGTTGTTTTCCGCCATGGTGCACCCGACAACATATCCAGCGCTCCAGAGGTTTCGCCTGCTGGAAAGTATTGTGCGGGAGTTGGTGGAGCGGTATGTTGTGATTGTGTCTAAAAGCAACGTACTGCGCATGGACACCCCGGAGGCCCAGTTGCAGTGCCTGCGAAGGACGATTCACATGCTGCAGGATTTGCATCAGCGCTACCTGCAGGCAGCTGAGTTATTCTGTCCCGCAGGTCACCTACCGTCACCGCTGACATCTACCCGGGGCGGCACGCTGCAGCTGAAGTACCACGACCTCGTCTTGTCACGTGCGCGGCAATTGTGGGGATTTGTGAATGAGCACTTTCACTACGAGCGTGCCCTGCAACGGACTTTTGCTGACGGCAGCCTTGAGGCGAGCACGTTGTGCTCGTTTCATGTGGAACTCACAGAGGCGTATGATAATTTTGTTGCCGCAACAGTGGCGTATGGATGCTTGTGGGATGTGAGTTCATCCGGGACTGCTGAGTTTAAGCGTGCGCTGGCGGCGTACGAGCGGCACCTAGCAAACATCGATGAGCGTCTTGCACTGCTCGTTGGCACCATGCTGGCAACGGCACAGGAGATGAGCGGTGGTGGCCCCTCATTGGCATCAGCCGCTTCTTCCTATGAAGCAGCAACAGAAGATGCTGCTGTGGTAGCGACAACATCTGGGTATTCGGCGAATATGGGATGTTGTCTCTCGCTTTACCGCATTTACTCCCGTTTCCGTCCACTACGGCGTGATAAGGTGCAAGCTGTTGTGGCAGGGTTTCAGATGGCATTGCTGGAACAAATCAACCACGAGATGAAGGATGCTCGGGAGCGTTACTTTGACGCTGAGGGCTGCCAAGACGGTGTGCGAATGGCCGTTGCTCGTTTTGGCGTGACGCCCGTTGCTGCTCGCATGTTATGGGAGAAGTCTGTGCTGCAAGAAATTGAGGCGTGCCTTGAGCGTCGAGACGCCATATATGAGCAGGGTTGGCATCAGCTACTGCATCTTCGCACCATTGAGTACCGATGGTGCCTTGACGAACCTCTTGCGCAGTTCTTTGGGGTTCCACTAGACGCCCTTATGATGAAGGAGTTTGAGGGGAATCTCGATGTGTGTGGTACAGCGTACGCTCTGGCATACCTTGACGTCGTTCACGGCAAGGATGAGCCAAGATGGTCCATTGACCTACATATAGAGGCTGCGCGAGCGTTTTTGCAGGAGAGTGACGCCGATGCGTTGAATTACGCAAAATCACGTCTGCTGCTGCTTCGCGTGGTGAACGACCGTAGAGTGGGGCAAAATGAACTGCGAGATGTGCGTAATTTCTGCGATATTATCTCACAGCGACTTCAAGAAGGCGTTGTGCAGTGGTGTGAGGATGTGCGGCGGCGCCTTGCTACACTTAACTTGGCCCCTTGTACGATGATGATGAAGGGTCCCCTTTGGCACGTTGTTGAGCTGCAATGTGGTCACGGTCGTGGTGCTATGAATGACATTGGCAACGTAAACAACAATAATGAGGGAATTGCTACTAGTGTCATGCGACGTATTGTCATGCCACATATTCCTCAGGAAATGTTTGCACTCCTGCGGGATCTGCACATGCTAGATGGCATGCAGCTGCTTGAAAATCACGTGCAGCTTGTTGCGGACGTGCGTTCCTTTTTCCTGCACAACGAAGAACGCTTCCGCATTGCTAGTTGTCTTTCTGCACTTATCTATGCATTTGAGACAGCGCTCAACGGGGAGGATGAGATGATGGTCCACCTTGCGACGGACGAATATGCCAAGGTGTATCAGTCATTTCTTGATGGAGCCCAATTGCGGTGGTCAGACGAAGGACGGCTGCAACAATTCACGCAGGAGCTCTCAGACCGTGTCTATGCCTTTTGTGTTGCCGCAGCTCGAGTGCGTGACGTCACGGCAGAGATAGAGCGCGGAATTGCTCAGCTGCACGGTCGTGCGATTCAAAAGTCGGGGGAGGTGGTGAGGCGGGTGGAAAAAATGCACGCCCTTGTCAACGTCCTTTATGCGAATTGTGCCAACGCAGGCTGGTGGGTGCGGCGCGTGCAGCCCCGCCTGGACGCTGCTATTATCTGGCAAATGGAGCAACACCTTAACCGTTGGTCCGATGAGTTTTTTTCGATGAGCCACAACCAGCGATTTCTTGACAAGGACGCTGAGACGGAGGAGTTTGGTCTGCGGCCGTTGCGTGTGCGTATGCGGGTGGTGTTTAAGGAGATTGCGTTGTCGTCACCAGCCGCCGCGTGTCGTCACCACTGGTTGAACGAACTGAACCGCTCCTTTGCCTGGGTGCATACCCTGTCGATGCTGCGGCAGGACTATCCACACTGGTCACACCATCAGCAGCTGCAACAGCAACAAATGATTTCAGAATGGAGTTCAAGGGCCTCGATATCAGCGATGGGGTCGACGCAATCCACGTATGATCGACTATTGGAGTGGCTTGCTCCACAGGTTCTTGCGGGGCTGCTGCAGGCAATTGAGAAGAGTATTCAGGACTCACTTGAGGTGGAGGCACAGTGGCGTCGCGGTCAACAGCTGTTAAACCTTGAGGTGGGCGTGTTGCAGCAACGCCTTGGGGACGACCTTGAAAAGTGGGGAGCTGTCCTGCAGAAAATTTGCGAGATGGCGAACAGACTGATGGATTATACACAGCCCAGCACTCTCGTGGGAGGCATCGTTATTGTCGCGGATGATGCACAGAAGGAGCTTGGCCGGAAACTGGACAACCTGACACAATACATTCATTCACGGTATCGCGATGTCGTGGAGAAGCGTCTCGAGTCGTGTTACCATCATGTCATGGGGGTTCGCACAGCGGCGGAGAATTGTAATGTCATCAACAACCTCGAGGATGCAGCTCGGTTTATGTGCGAATTACCGGAAATCAGAGCAAATATGCACGAGACAGAGCGTCAAATTGCTGCTCTTGCGCCGGCTGAGGATTATTTGAGGCGGCAGGGTTTCGTACTGCCGGATTCATGGATTTATGTGCGGAAGGTCAAGGCGGAATACCGCACCTACCACGATCTTATTGAGCGAAAGGTAAAGGCCTTGGAGTTTCGTCGCCCGTTTCTTTGTGAGGGTCTCAAGCCCCAGGAGGAGAATCTTTGTCGCCAGATTGACGAATTAGAGGCGTCCCTTCACACAATTGTCACACAGGTGCAGGATCAGGGGCAGACACAACTGGAGGAAGTTTCAGACTCGGCCCAGCGACGCTTCAGTGAGATGCAGGAACGGGCTACTCTGCTGAAGGAACAGAGAAAACAACTCCTCGCGCTTCAAACGGCACTTGAAGTCCCAATCCTTGCGGAGACAAAGTTGGAGGCCATCATGGCACGCATGGAGGAACTGCAGTGGGTGTGTGGCCACGTTGCACAAGCTTATCAACGATTAAATGTGATTGCCCGAACACCTTTCTTTGAAATGGTGCCACGGCAGTTGCACGAGGATGTACTCGCGATTGATCGTGATGTACGAGAGTTCCCTGAAGGGGTTCGTAGCCACCAGGCATACAGTGATCTCCAGATATGCATTGAAAACCGACTGGCATGTCGGCAGTTGATGCAGGAGCTACGCTCTGATGCCATGACTCCCTTGGAACGCGCAGAGCGTCATTGGATGGCGCTGAAGTCTCAGCTCCATGCAGCATGGAAACTTGAGACGTTGACCGTTGGTGACATTTGGCGCAGCAATCCCGTGGAGAACGCAAAGATATATCATGATGTGTTGGAGTTTGCTCACGGTGAACTTCGTTTGGAGTCGCAGCTCGGACGCATTATTACCTTCTGGAACACGTTTGAATTCAATACAATGGTGTACCAGCGTCAGTTTGTGCTTGTCCGTGGCTGGGATGTCGTCTTTGAGCGGCTCTCCGATGATCTTGACTCCTTCCAAGGCCTTCGCTCTAGTCCCTTCTTTTCCTCGCAGCACGTTATTGCCATGGTGGCAGACTGGGACAATCGCCTGCAGCTACTCTTGCGGACGCTTGAGGTACTCATGGCGGTGCAACGCCGGTGGGTTCACCTGGACAGTATTTTCACTGGTAACACTGACATCCGGCGGCAGTTGCCGAAAGATGCAGTACAGTTTGATCGGGCGAGTCGTGAGTTTATGAAACTTATGCCAGTGAAGGTGAGCCTTGGTGCCGCGCCTATGCTTAAGGCGCAAGCCTTCCTGCAGGACAAAACGCTTCTGACCTCGCTGGAACGGCTTGAGGGTCAACTTTCCAGGGTGCAGAGGGCGCTGAGTGCCTATTTGGACATACAACGGCGTCAATTTCCTCGCCTCTTTTTTGTTGGCGATGATGACTTGCTAGAGAGCCTTGGAAATAGCAGCAACCCCACTCTCATTGAGAAGCACTTGCCCAAGATGTTTACTGCGCTTGCCCGCGTTATTATTAGCAAGGGGGATGGCGAAGGTGGCAGAGCCAAGGACAGTGAGTCTTCTGCACCAGTTCAAGTTGTGGGGTTTGCCAGCGCCGAGGGAGAAGAGGTGACGATGGTGCGGCCGGTGTCATTGAAGAATCGTCCGCTTTATGATTGGTTGGCTGAGGTGGAGGCCTCTATGGTGACCTCCCTGTGCCGGCTGACCGTGTCGGCCGTGGAATCTTTAACCCTCAGTGGGAAGGTGACGAGGGTGTGGATCACCTCTTTTCCGCTGCAGGTCGTCTGTCTCGCTTTTCAGGTGTGGTGGGTGCGGTTGCAGGAGCAAACCTTCCTGACATGGCAAAAGCAAAGACAACATGGAAAGAAGGAGCCCTCAACGGCTGTGGCCCAAATGGTGTCTTTGCTCGATCGTCTTGCGCTAGGTGGGATATCACCGGACACGACACTGGCGTTGCGCCATGGTATGGAGGAGCTCATTACTCTCGCTGTGTATCAGCGTGATGTCTCGCGCGTTATAGAGTCAAGGCAAATTATGTCAGTTGATGACTTTGAGTGGTTACGTGTTTTGCGCTTGTACCTAAGCAAGGATGGTGCTGAGTTGCAGTGTCATATGGCTAACACCTCTTTCCGTCACGGCTTTGAGTACCTTGGATGGCACCAGCGCCTTGTACAAACCAACCTCACTGACCGCTGTTACCTCACCATGACGCAAGCACTACACGCACGCCTTGGTGGCTCACCTGTTGGTCCTGCCGGTTCTGGGAAGACAGAAACGGTGAAGGCGCTCGGCACACAACTCGGACGACATGTTTTGGTGTTTAATTGCGATGAGACCTTTGACTTTGACTCTGTGGGTCGTATTTTTCTTGGCCTCTGCCAGGTAGGCGCATGGGGCTGCTTTGATGAGTTCAACCGACTAGAGGAGCGTGTGTTGTCGGCGGTGTCGCAGCAGATTCAGACCATCCAGGAGGCCCTTCGAGCACAGTCTAACACTGTCACGCTCACACAGCAGACTGTGCCACTGCGGGAAAGTGTGGCGTTGTTTATCACCATGAATCCCGGATTTTCCGGCCGATCAAACCTGCCAGGGAATCTGAAACAATTGTTTCGCACCATGACGATGGCTGCCCCCGACCGTGAGACCATCGCAGAGGTCATGTTGTTTGCTCAGGGATTTCGTACAGCAGAGGCGCTATCACGGAAGATTGTCCCGTTGTTTCACTTGTGTTCAGAAAAACTGTCCCAGCAGGCGCACTATGACTTTGGGCTGCGCTCTCTGAAGTCTGTTCTTGTAACGGCAGGGGATATTAGACGCTCCTCGCGCAACGACGCAGCCACGGCTCCCAATGCCTCTCGCACGCAACGGAGCCTTGAGGAAGTGGAGGGGGAAATTATGTTGCAAAGCCTTATCAGCAGCATTACACCCCGTCTCGTCACGGAGGATGTGGCACTCTTCTACCCTTTGTTGCAGGACCTCTTCCGAGGACTTCAGCTTCCTGACGCAACCATGACAGCATTGCGTGCGGCCATTGACGAGGTGTGTCACGAAACTCACTACGTTGCAACACCGGCATGGGTCGAGAAGGTCTGTCAGCTGTATTACACACGCAAGATGCGGCACGGACTTGTGCTAGTTGGACCAAGTGGGACGGGAAAAACAGTCTGTTGGAAGACTCTGCTTCGTGTCATGGCGCGACTCACTGTGGTGGATAATGATGCATATGATGGTGGTGATGATAATCCTAGCAAGGAAGGCGTTACTAGAAGTGGCCCACTGGAGGCGCACGCCTACGTGATTGATCCCAAGGCAATGACCAAGGCAGAACTCTTTGGAGTCTTTGAGGCAACCACGCGTGAGTGGAAAGATGGTGTCTTTACAGAAATTTTGCGCCGTATTGTTAACAATGAAATGGGCGATGATCGTTCACGTCAGCAGCATTGGATTGTCTTTGACGGTGATGTGGACCCTCACTGGGTGGAGAACCTCAACTCCCTGCTCGATGACAATAAGGTCTACACCCTACCAAACGGTGAGCGGCTTAGTCTACCGTCATCGGTACGTATTGTGTTTGAGGTCCAAGACCTGCGTTATGCGACTCCAGCCACGGTGTCACGTTGTGGCATGGTTTGGTTCAATCGCAGTACCGTTCCAGTCTCCAGTGTACTAAGCCATCACTTTGGGGCTTTCTACCGTGTTCCGTTGATTGATAGGCATGGCAAAAAACGGGGCACCTTCCTGACTAAAGATAGTGCGGAGCATACGACACTATCAGGTGGGAATTATTTTATGGTTCCACGCAGAGGCGGAGAGCGGGGTGGGGCGTTGTTGAACACAATGAAGGTGGCACAGGTTGCCGCATCAAACTTTGAGGGCGATACTGCTAGTCTTGCAAGTAATTTGACGACCAGCACAGTGGAGGAGGCCTTTGCCCACGGTGAGGACAGCAGCCGGAAGGGAACATCGTTGTGGTATTCGAACGCTCTCACCGACACGTATCGTGATGTAATGCAGCTACAAATGGTGATGGCAAATATGTGGGGCCCCGCTTTTGCCAAAGGCGGTCTACTAGAACGTGCCGTTCAGCTCATCCACAGTGAGGGGTATTGGACACAAGGGATTATGGAGCATAATGACCTCCAACTGCTACGCAGCGTACAGTCATTCTTGCTTGATGGCATTTCACGGATGTGGAAACTGCGGGAGCAACAGGCAAAATTACCCATGGTGAACACTGTGCAAAGTTATGCCACGAATGTGCTTCACTACGCTGTGTTGTGGGGCTTTACTGCCTCACTCAGTCATGAACTCCGCAGACGCTGGGTGGATGATTTGTCGCTGCCCCTGGGAACCTCATCCGGCGGAGGATTGGCTGACACTCTTTCGCTGTTGGATGTTCAGCCGGATCCCGCGTCTGGTGCATGGAGTGCCTTCCGAGAACGTGTGCGGGACACCGTCATTGCGGCCGAGCAGCTGGGAGCAAACGACGTGCTCATTCCAACGGTTGACACGTGCCGTCACGAGGAGGTATTGCGGGCGTGGATTGGGGGTGGGAACGCTGCGATTCTTTGTGGACCGCCTGGCTCCGGTAAGACGATGTTGATTGCATCGCTTCTGCAACAGTCTTCCGACTATGACGCCGTGTTTCTAAATTTTTCAAGTGGAACGACACCAAAAAACGTTATTCGTGCCTTGGAACAGTACTGCAGTGTACAAAACACAGCGCGTGGTCCAGTGATGTCACCTACAGGCGGCAAAGGACTGTTGCTGTTCTGCGATGAGATTAATCTTCCGGCGACGGACCTGTACGGAACGCAACCCGTTGTGCAGCTGCTGCGTCAATTAATTCAACGGCGCGGGTACTACCGCAGTCGTGACAACGCATGGATCAGCGTTGAGGGAGTGCAGGTGATCGGTGCCTGCAATCCACCGACCGACGCGGGACGCGTGTCACTTTCCCATCGTTTTTTGCGATCGGCACCCGTGTTATTTGTGAACTTCCCTACGAAAGAAAGCCTCCATATGATCTACGCGGCCTACTGTCGTGCTGTGCTCGCCTTTAATAGGCAGTTGCAGCGGTCGCATGCGGAAAGGTTATCGTGTGCGATGGTCGATGTGTATGTGGCGACGCAGGCCCACTTCACCTCGTGGCACCAGCCACACTACGTCTACTCCCCGCGTGATCTCTCGCGCTGGACACGTGCAATCCACAACGCTCTCATGACGTGGGATGAGTCTGAGCGACGCGCGTTGCGACCAGAAGGTCTTGTGCGTCTTTCCCTACACGAAGGGCTACGCGTCTTTCGAGACAAATTGGTGGAGGGCGAGGAGCAGGTTTGGACGGACGCCACCATTGATCACGCCTTCCTTGACACACTTCCCTGAAATTGCGACGGCGTCGTTGCCCCCACCGTCTCTTCAGCGGCCAGTGTTGTACTCCACACTTCTGCAACACTCCTACTCTGAAAACGCGCGGGATGTATTGCGTGAATACATTGAACATAAACTGGTGGTGTTTTGTGAGGAGGAGGTGGACACCGCACTTGTCGTTCACGATGCCATGATCGAACACGTCACACGCATTAATCGTGTCCTGCAGCAGCCGTTGGGCCATATGATGATCGCAGGCGCATCTGGCGTGGGCAAAACAATCACCGCACGGCTTGTTGCGTGGATGAACGACATGGCGGTGGCTCGCCTCGGTGTTCACCGCAACTATCAACTTGACGACTATGAAAAAGATCTGCGTGATATACTGCGACGTGCCGGGTGTAAGCTCGAGCGTGTCTGTTTTCTCTTTGACGACAGCAACATCATGGAGGCAAGCTTCTTAGAGTACATGAACGCTCTCCTGGCGTCAGGAGAGGTGCCCGGCCTGTTTGAAGGCGAGGAGTGGGGAAAACTTATGGAGGATATACGCGAGAGCGTGGTGGCGCAGCAAGTTCTCAAGGCAAGCGGCAAACCGCAGCAGTTGACTCTGCTAGACGACAACGATGACTCACAGCCGCAACATCGCCACCACCGAGAACAACAACAACAACAAACGCAGACGCCAGCGTTGCCCTTGTCTAGCGGCAGCACCGAGCACGCCGCCAAGAGTGGTGGTGCCACGACGGTACCACAACAGGAGGCGCTTGATACGATGGTTTCCGCCGTGTACGTTGACACCACATCCGAGCAGGAGCTGTATCGCTGGTTCCTTGGAAATGTGAAGCGCAACCTTCACGTCATCTTTACAATTGACCCCTCCGCCGGGGAATTTGCGAGTCGTGCCGTGGCGAGCCCGGCGCTCTTCAACCGTTGCACCATTGACTGGTTTGGTGAATGGGACCGTCCCGCACGCCATCAGGTTACACGCCGACTCACGCAACAGATTGATATCATGTTCTCCTGCGAGAAGACGTTTCAGAAACGCGAGAGCGAAGCGCGTGATGCGCTGGCTGATGCACTTTGCGGTATTCACGAAATTACGGGCGAGGTTAATCGCGTCGTGCGACTCCAAAATGCGCAGCAGGGGACATTTATAACGCCGCGTCACTTTGCCGACTGCGTACGTCACCTTCAGCTCCTGTACGAGGAGAAAAAAAATGGATCGAAGGAGCAGGTGCAGCACTTGCGTACCGGCCTAGCCAAGCTGGATGCGGCGTCTGACGAGGTTGAGCAGCAGCGAGTCAAACTTCGCGAGCATGAAGTCGTGTTGGCAACAAACAGTAAGAAGGCGCAGGCGATGCTCGATCGCATTGTCACAGACACGGAAACAACGAAGCGGGAGAAGCAGGCGGCTGAACACCTTCGTCAGCAACTGCAGGAAGAGGAGGAGATTATAGTCGCCGACAAGGCGCAGGTGCAGAAGCAACTTTCAGAGGTGGAACCCGCACTGCGGAAGGCCGAAGTTGGACTCAACACCATTAAACCAGAGTACCTTCGCGAGATTCGTGCCTATACGACCCCGCCACAGATGGTGCAGCGGGTTTTAGAAGCCGTGCTTGCAGTGATGGGAGAAAAGCGGGCGGGTGAGTGGGATGTCATCAAGCACCACATTCGTCGTGACGATTTTCTTGCAGGGGTGAAAGCCTTTGAACCGCGCGGCATCACAGACGAGGCGCGTCTGACGGTGTTTCAAATGTTGCAAGAAGAGGGCTTTACGTACGAGGCGGCACAGCGTGCTTCTAAGGTAGCTGGTCCGCTGCTGCAATGGGTGGAGGCGCAAGTTAAGTATGCGGAGATATTAGCCGCGATGGAGCCATTGAGAACCCGCATTCATCATCTTACGGCAGCACACAGCGCAAAGCGCACCCAGCTTCAGCGCACCGAGGCGGAGATTGCTGCAATGGAGTCGTCGCTGTTGCAACTCAAGGAAGGATACCAGGGGGTGACTGAGGAGATTGCAACAATCAAAAATACGATGAGTGGGGTTGCCGCCCGCTGCGAACGAGCCACAACATTGCTGCAGCAATTGTTTGATGAACATGAGCGGTGGGAAATAGAGGCGATGGGATTCGACTCCGAAGTGCGTACAATTTTGGGGGACTGCACCCTCGCTGCCGCATCCCTGGCGTACTATGGCTACTTTGACGAGCATACTCGGCAGTCGTTACTTTTTCCGCGTTGGCGTCGCTGCCTGCAGCAGATGCAGATTCCTTTTTGTGAGGAGCTTCGCAGTGTTGTGGATTATCTTGTGACGCCGCAGGAGCGACTATCGTGGGAGCAGCATGGGCTGCCGAAGGATCATCTCTGTATTGAGAATGCTATGATTCTTAGCCGTTGCCAGCGTTACCCGTTTCTTATCGATCCGAATGGTGTTGCGGTGAACTTCCTTTTGAAACGGTATGCGTCGAACAAAATACATACAACAAGCTTTAGCAAAACGGGTTATCTGAAAGAGTTGGACATGGCCGTGCGATTCGGTTACCCCATTCTCATGCAGGATGCAGAGTTTATTGACCCAGCACTTAGTCCGCTCATCAATAAAGAAATTCAGCGTGTGCGGGGTCATGTCTTGACGCGACTGGGAGCACATGACGTGGAAATGGCGGCGACGTTTTTTATGTTTCTCGTGACGCGTGACTCACACTATCAGCCGTCACCCGGCATGGCTGGACAGGTGTGCCTCGTCAACTTCACTGTGACACAGTCTTCGTTACAGTCGCAGTGCCGACACCGAGTAATGTTGCATGAACACCCCGAATTGGATCTTCGACGGGCACACATTTTGCGTGCGCAGGGTGAGTACCAGCTGAGACTGCGTGTGTTGGAGCAAGAGCTGCTCACCTCCATTGCACGCAGCGAGGGTAGCCTGCTGGAGAATGACGCTTTAACCGTCGCCCTGGAGCGCCTGAAGGGAGAGACCGAGTCACTGAAGGTTGGAATTGCTGAGAGTGAGGCATCGATGCAGGCCATCACTGAGGTTGAGGCGCAGTACCAACCGATTGCAGCAACAGTGGCAAAAATGTACTTTGCGCTGCGTCGTTTCTCACAGCTGCATTGGTTGTATCAGTTCAACGTGGAATTTACTTTTCGTATCCTTGCAGATGCTTTGGAAGTGTTGCCTGCACGTTCTACAGATGTGAGTGGAGTTGAGGAGCGAGACGAGGACGCGGCACGTCTGCGAGTGCTCACCTCTCAAATTTTCAACCTTGTTCACCAACGTGTGCGACGCGGGATGTTTGCAGAGGACCATCTCGTACTCGCCATTATACTTGGGAAGCTGCGTAGTGGTATTGACGATCGTGTGGGACGCCAAATCACTGTGGAGGAGTGGAGCTGGTTTGAAGACGCGTTGCATGTCCCTGTCAAGGAGGAACCTGGTGTGACGGTTGCTGTGGGTGGCCCGGGTGGTGCCACGCATGCGATACCCGCCATTCTGCGAGAGTGTGGTGTGTGTGCGCCTGCATCAGAGATGGCCCTGGCGGCATTGTTGCAACGACCACTCTTTGCGGAGGTGCGGGCGTCGCTGTTAAATCCACAGCACGTGGCGGCCTGGAAGCAGTACTTTGAGTCCGCCGCACCGTACGCTGAAGTAATACCGGCGTTCCACACGAGCACCGGTGAAAACAGTCGTGTCAACCACAACGGTTCTCGGGAGCGCACACGGCGTGCATTTCTTGCCGCCTTTTTGCTTCTTTATACACGCCGGGATGCGTTTGCACCGGCCGTCCAGGAATTTTTGCGACGCTTCTTTGACGAGGATTCGTGCGTCAACCCCGACAGAAAACTCAATGGGAGCTCCTTCTTTGCGGCGGAGGCACCTGATCTTGCAGCGCTGCAGTCAGAGCTCTCAGATAGCACGCCACTCATCCTCGTGGCAAACGCTGGCAGTGACCCGACGTTGATGTTGGAGGCGCTGGCTCGTGCCCTGGACGTGACACTGCGGATAGCCGTGATGGGCAGCGCCACAGGCATTGAAATAGCGGAGCGCTACCTGACAGACGCCATGGCCGAAGGAACCTGGGTGCTGTTGAAGAACATTCACCTCGCACGGACGTACGCCGGTGCGGTGGAAAAGTGGATGCATCGTGAGCGGTCGGAGGGTCGACTACATTGCAACTTTCGTCTTTTGCTCTCCATTGAGGCTGTCCCGGGTATTCGATGCTGCAGCGTGAGCGGCGGCAGTTTTGGTGCAGCCAGAGGTAATAAGAACAGTAACAGTGGTAGTAAGCGTGCTGAGGAATCGCTGGAGGAGCTCCCTGTGAGTCTTGTAGAGGCATCAGTGGTGCTGGTGTACGAACCGCCGCCAGGAATGAAGTCATCATTGCTGCAGACCATAGGGGCGTTGACGCCGCACTCCAGTTACGCTAAGCAACCGGCGGACATCCAGCGCATCTACCTTGCTGCAGCTTGGTTGCATGCGGTGGTGATGGAACGGCTGCTTTACCTTCCCATAGGGTGGAGTACGCGGTATGAATTTAGTGACACCGAGTTCTGGCGCATCTTGCAGGCTGTGGACAGCTGGGTGGGAACTGCCGTGAGAGGCGGTGGTGGCAGCGGTAGCGAAGGGATTGATCGTGACCGTGTTTCATGGCCCGCGCTGCAAACAATTATTGGTACAACCTTGTATGGTGGCAAAATCAGCAACGAGTTTGACCAGCTGCTGCTAAATTTCTTGTGTTTGCAACTCATGAGCATAGCTGTCTTTGACGACGAGCGTCTGTTTGCCTTAACTGACGACAACGAACTCAACGCACATCTCACGTTTTCCTCGATTCAATCGCTGCAGGGTGTGCAGGAGTGGGTGCGGGCGCTGCCGGACGCAGAGACGCCGTTGTGGGCACGTCTTCCCGCCAGCGCTTCGCGCGTCGTGTCAGCGCAGCACGCCGTTGCTACAATAGAGCGGCTGGCGGCTGTAAGACTCATTGAAGAAAGGGAGGATGTGGTGACGGTTCACGACGATGCCGAGGAAGGTTATGAGCGGCAGCCCGCGCCGCGCAGCATCGGTGAGACCCGCTGGGGGCGGCAAATTAAACGCTTCTGCCGTGTGTGGCGTAACTCGCTTAATGGATTGGGAAACCTGGAGCCCCAGCAAACGACCGTGCCAACCCTGCTTTCGCGCGCGACAGAGGAGAGTGTGCCAGGTGACAGTGCAAGCATGGAGCCAACCGTAATGGCTATAGAGCGAGAGTACGTCTTTGCACTGGATCGCCGACGAGAAATTCTTGTCGACCTTGGCGCACTGGAGGAAATCTGTGAAGGGTCACGAAACCCAACAGCAACACAGCGTGTCTTAATGGATCATGTGCTGCGGGACCAAGTTCCTCCACGCTGGGCTCGCTCCTACCACGCATTTCCAACGACGGCGGACCTGTGGATGTCGGACTTCAGGAAACGCGTTGTACATGTGCACGCCATGCACGAGGCTGTACAACGGAAGACATTTGAAACAACATGCCTCTCTCTCGGCCTCCTCTTCTGGCCTGGTGCGTTTCTTACGGCGACGAAACAGCAGGCGGCACGTCAACAGCATCGCTCTCTCGAACAGCTGCAGCTGCGATTAGAGCTCATGTCGGAGGACGCGACACAGATCCACGCTGCAAGCAACAAAGAAGCATCTCACGTGTGGCACGTTGTCGGTCTCACACTTTACTCCGCCCGCCTTGAAGCAAATTGTGGCAGGTGTGAACTTATCCCCGCCACCTCTGGCACCTCCTCCGTCCCCGTCGGCGCTCTGCTTTTCTGGGAGCCGATCCCTGCGCCTGAGGCAGACGACGTTGCGCTGCCGATCTCGAGATCGTCTCTGTTGATGCGTTTGTTATCGCAAAACCCAACGCATGGACGTTTCGCAACGCCGTTTTACGTGAACCCGCGCCGTGATTTGATGCTCGAGGTGGTGGAACTCGCAGTGGACCCTGTCAAGTCGCCGATGCAGGCGTGGTACGAGCGCGGCGTGTGCCTCGTCGCCTGCTCCCTGGCGGAATGTTGAATGCCACAGAACCGAGAGTGCACTTCGTGGGGGAGGCCAGTGGAGCCGAAGGGTCCAAAAAAAGAAAAAAAATGAAGCCATGAAGGTGGAATGAATGGTGGTGTGGAAGGAAAGACGGAGGACGCAGACGGGTTTACCCGGGCAAGCAAAGGCCGACAGAGAGAAATAAGGCGTTGGTGTGGAGGGGTGCGTTTGCACCACCTCCGTCAACGCGCATTATGTGTACATGAAAAGCGGGTGGGGGAGTACAACATATATATATATATATATAACTATTTAAGGAATCTTGGATAAAGACACAGATGCTTCGCTCGCGTTTGTTTATTTTTCTTTTTTTCAAACGTGGTGGCATCGGGTGGCCTAGGAAAGCAAGTGCAACACAAAACAAGTCAAATTATTCTCTCCTCAAACAAACAAACTGGAGAGGGGGGGACAGTAGACGAAAGTAAACATCAAACCGTAAGCTACCAGGTGGCGACACAGATGGCCAATCGGGACAGTGGCAGCTTCTCGCTTACGATTGTTGGTTCAGGGGTTTCCACCGGTGTGCCTGTGATTGGGCACCGCTCCGGCGACTGCGCGTGTGTTGCGGCATTGCAAAATTCGGAAGGACCAAACAGACGCAATAACGTTAGCCTTCTCATCACCGTCCCATCACCTCTTGGCGACTGTAGTGGCACTCAGGGTGTAAAACACATTCTTATTGATTGTGGCAAGACTTTTCGTGACGCATACTTTCGCGTGCTTGCCAAGCATCATGTGCAGACCGTCGATGCCCTGCTCCTCACGCACGATCACGCAGACGCCATGGGTGGCCTGGATGACATTCGCGACCTGCAGCGTTCGCGGAAGGAAGGCCACGATGATTGGTCTATTGAGCAGTATGTTCCAACGTATGCCTCGGAAAGGACAATAAATGCGCTGCGCAATCAATTTGGATACATACTCCGCAACAGTCGTGAGATTGGGCCTGCACCACGGACCGCAGAGGAGCATGACGTTCTCATGCAGCGTGTTACTGAAGAGCGCAAACGGGCGGGTCTAACGAACAACATTGGGGTGCGCCGCTCCGCCGCCCTAGATTTGTTTACGCTGCCGGATAACGCGCCGACGTCATTTTACATCCCTGCGCTTGGTGCTGACTTCCCGATATATGCCGTACCAGTGGAGCACGGTGCAGGTTACATAGCGCTTGGTTTTGTCTTTGGCCGCGGCGTCGCGTTTCGTAGCGCTGGTGCCACTAACGCCAGTGTCGCAAATCACAGCTGTGTCGTTTACCTCTCCGATGTGAGTGCGGTGCCCATGCCTGCAATGACGTTTCTGCAAGATCTTGTCAAGATAGACGTGCTTATTGTTGATCTGTTGTATGGCCCTGGTAAGCGGCACGCAACCCATTACTGCATGGACGATGTGATACGCCTTGTCGCGTCTCTCCAACCGACTCGCACATATACGATTGGTATGTACTGCGATGTGGAGCATGAGCGAGGTAATGAACAGCTACGAGAACGACTGGTGGATCTGCGGCGCAGCGGCAAATGTAGCGACCTTGTTCTATCTGTGGAGCTGGGCTTTGATGGGCTTCATATTTCCCTAGCGCTGTGAGACGATGCAATTATTTATTCTATTTTGTTTTCTGGTGGTCACAGCCAATACTTCTCTGTCTCTGTCTGTATGTCTGTGTGTCTGCGTGTGTGTGTCTTCTTGGAGTACTGTCGGCTTTCACCCTAACCCCTCATGGCAGATGCTGATGCATTACTGCTGGGAGGAAGAATAACAACAATCTGCGGCACAGACAGCCATGTCTTTTTCTTTTTTTTTCTTTTTTTTTTGGATGACTCTGCGTTTATTCCTTTCTCTATGTACTTTTATCGGTCGTAGGTCTTCTCTTGGCCTGGACGCTACGGATGGCATCACTGTTCTATATACTAGACAGCAAAGGTGCCCCACTCATTTGCCGCTCATACCGTGGCGACATTGTGCAGGACCCTCCAGCTGTCTTTCAGCGTCGTGTGTTGGATGAAGAAGAGTTTCGTGTCACGCCTGTGTTTGAGGAGCAGGGCCACACGTACTGCTTTATTCGCGTGAATGACGTCTTTTTTATGATGGTTAGCAAAATTAATACTTGTCCGCTACAGCAGATCGCCTTTATGCACTCCTGTGCCCAGGTGTTTGAGGGATACTTCAGGCACGTCTCTGAGGAGACTGTTGTGGATAACTTTGTTATTGTGTATGAGCTTCTTGACGAGATGTGTGACTTTGGTCTGCCGCAGTACACAGAGGCGAAGGTGCTGAAGGAGTACATCACCCAAGAAGGCCTCATCTCCCACTTGCTGCCAGAGGAGAAATTAAATGTGAAGGCACTACCACCGGCGGTTACGGGTGTAGGGGGTGGGACGCCTTGGCGTATGCCAGGCAAGTACAAATACCGCAGAAATGAGGTGTTTTTGGACGTGGTGGAGAACGTCAGCCTTCTTGCCTCACCCGAGGGTGAGACGCTTTCCAGTGAAATTGTTGGCCAACTGAAGATGCGGGTGCGGCTCTCTGGTATGCCGACGCTGAAGCTTGGTCTCAACGACAAGGCCATGCTTGGCATGACAGGGCGATCAGGGCGCTTGGTGGAGATGGCGGATGTGAAGTTTCACCAATGTGTGCGCCTCGATCAGTTTGAGAGCGATCGCATCATCTCATTTATCCCTCCAGACGGAAACTTTGATTTGATGACGTACCGCACTAGCAGGAAGATTTCCCCGCTTGTGCATGTGGAGTGCACATTTTTCAGCAAAGGGTCAACGCAGGTGGAGATGACCATTACGGCTCGCACCACATTTCGCCGTAACACGACGGCGAGCTTTGTTGATATTCTCATTCCCATCCCAGGCGATGCAGATAAGCCGGAGGCGAAGTGTTCGCTAGGAAGACTTCACTACGCGCCGGAGTCAAGCGTGCTCATCTGGAGCCTGCGCAACCTTGGCGGGGGAAAGCAGTTCAGCTGTCTGTGCAAATTTCATCTTCCCTCTGTGCGCAGCAGCGATCCGAAGGCTCTCGAGAAGGCACCCATTCAAGTGAAGTTTGAGATTCCTTTTCTCACCGCCTCTGGCTTTCAGGTACGTTATTTAAAGGTGGTGGAGAAGTCCAACTATGAGGCGTTGCCATGGGTCAGGTACATCACGCAGAGCGGGGACTATCAGATACGAACGCATTGAATTAAGGCATGAAGAACAATTGCGTTCAAGTTTGAATGACAGACAACACACCCGACACGTACACACATACACACTAGGAGGGATAGATGGGGGAGGAAGCAAGGAATGGGGTGTCCTGTTGATTGCAAGGAAGAATTGGGAGCAAATGGGAGAGGAGATTGAATTCTTTTTTATTGTTACTACTCTTTCGTTGTGTGTTTGTGTGTTACTGAGATAGTGGGAGCGGTATTTGTATATTCATGAATATATGGATATGTGTGTACGTATGTTGATCCCTGATTAGTTATAGGATGTTTTTAGCGTCGTTAAGCAGGCCCTTCTTTTTTTTTTCCTTGTTTCTTATGCGTGGTTGTGTCGTCGTTATTGTTTGTTTGCTTTTTTATGTCACCTACTGACCCGCCTGTGTTTTGCGCCTATGACCATAAAGAAACACGTGTCTCTACTATATATATATATATGTGCGCATGCATGTATTAGTGAGGAGGCAGCTGTGCTTACGTGGGCACGTTGTCTATATGAAAAGAAAGGTGTTCGCACTTCATTAAGATTTTTTCTTCCTTGATGTTGTTGTTGTTTCCTCACCTGCTGTGAAGGCTGGGGAAGTATGAGAGGCACCACCAGTAGCGGGGATGAAGATGCGGAAGTGTCGCCGCCAGACGTACCTAAAACAGCGACTCCTCTGCACTCCAGTCGTTGGCCCACGTTTCCACGGAGCGTGATGGCAGCTCCATCCAGTGGCATGGACGGCAGCAGCAGTAGTAACAGCATTTTTGGTGTGAATGACCAACAGCCTTGTCCCGTGGAGGTGGAAGTGAAAGAATACGAAAAAGGGGAGCCCATGCGTGGACGGGTGGTTTCATCGAAAACCTCTGATTGCAGAACCACACGGCTCTCGAGTGATGTCATTAATTTCTGGTGGGAGAGGCGGTACAAGGCGTTGTTTCCGCTAAACTGGGGAATGTGGTCAAAACCTTACATCGTGTTAGCCAGAGATGTCGTTGATGGCCGCCTTGTCACTACACGACGCTATTTGTGTCGCCGTGCAACAAATGCATCACTGCTGAAGTGCTTGGAAAACGGGGATTTTGTGAATGCGTCTTTTATTCCCTTTACAGCGTCTTGGAAACGGAGAATGCACGCCCTGCTGAATCTCCGTCATACAAATGTGAATCCAGTAACAGACATACTTATGGATGAGGAGCGGCAGGAACTGTTGTTGGTGCACCCGTATGTGGACGGCATGCAGCCTTTGGCTTCTGTATTTCACCACCAACCTCATCTGATGCATCGTGAATTAACCCCTTCCTTGTTACTGCGTATTCTGCGGAACGTGGTTGACGGCTTGCTCTTTTTGCACCATCATGGCATCATACATGGCGCGATATCACCATGGACCATTCTTCTTGATGCAAAAGGCCTTGCGTTGGTGACAGGGTTTGGAGTTGAAGAGCTGTGCATGTACCCGCTAGACGAGAATCCCACTGGCGGCTCAATGCAGCCTTTTTACGTGGCACCCGAGGTCAAGCATCCGTTGTCTCGCTTCCGCCTCGCCACAGTGGCTTCTGACGCCTTCTCCGTTGGCGCCCTTACCTTTGCTCTGACACAGGAGAAGCAGGACGGGGGGGCCTACATTCTGCTTCGGCAGGCCATGGTGGGTTTGATGCAGAGCGACCCCCAGCACCGCATGACCCTCCACGAACTTTCGTTGCTTCTCACCGAGCTCGAGTCTCAGAACACACTCACAGAAACAGTCTCCCAGGAGTTGAGGAGGCGGATGGCTGCAGCACCAGCATCAGCTGAGGGCCCAGCACTGTTTTCAAGAGAAGAACGTGCAAGTCCATCGTCACCCTGTACAGCTTCTGTGATGGTTTTTTTGCGGCGAGACTCCTCTCCGCTGCTTCACCGCGATACGGGGCTGAAGAAATGGAGGTCAGCAACAATGACAACAAGGATGATGACACACAAGGAGCAAAGGCGTCATCGTCGGGTCTGTCAGGTTTTGTTCCGATGGCGCGTTGTCGCTGTCGCCGTGCTTTTTTGCGTTATCGTCGCTCGTAAGGGCAGAAAACGTCAGCAGGCCTTGGCGGCACGGTTGTTGTCATCTGCACGACAAGCACAACTTAAAAAAATGCGATGCATGAGTTGTGGTGGGTCTCCTTTGGCGTCAGTGTCGACGACACCACTTCCACGGAGACCCACGATGCTTGAGAAACGTCGATCTCGTTGAACCGTCATTGTGAGGATCTGTAACGAGGGGAGACGCAGTGGTGTTTCTCCTTTTAAGGCTCAATAGCATGGCCTTCACCTGGTCTTGTGTGTTGGTTTCTGAGGAGTGGTGTCTGCAAGAGCGGAGGTGTTGATGCAGGCGCAGGAGCGTGAGTGTGTGTCTTTATTTATTTATTTTAATTTTTGGTTGTTGTTGTCGTCGTCGTTTTGTTCTTTCTTCACAGCGGCGTTGGCGAGTCCAGATGTAACTGTGTTCCCTTGCTCATATCTTTTTTTTTCATATTTCTGCCTTCTTTTATGAACGCGCTTTATGGCGACCTCTGAGGCACGTCTTCCGAGCAGTCTCGACGGAGGCCCATGTCCGGTAGAACTCCCTGCCTTTCAGATGTCGTCAAGTGGGGGATACACTTGTCAAATAAAACGCCTCGCTTTGCGGCGACAACCTTCCCTTTCACTAATCGTCATCACAGTCAGGATTTATTAACTTATTTCTTCCCTGTTCTGTTCTTGCTTTTGTTCTTGTTGTTTTTGTCTCTTGCTACGGGAGCGGCACATTTATATATATAAATATGCGTGGCTATGTGTTTCTGGCCTTGGCATGGCGCTGTGCAGTATTGTTGTTGTTGTCGTTGTTTTTTTGTATTATTCGTGTTGTCGCTGCGTCTGCTGCTGCTGCTGCTGCTGCTGTAGTTCTTCTTTGTGTACTGGTTTTCGGGTTTAGTGATGGAGCGCGTTGGCGCCACCGCTGCAGCTGCAACTGCGGCTGCCGTCGCTCGCTGCACACGCCGTGTTCGCGCCCCGTTAGATCACCTCATCGTGGGCCCGTCCGACCCTGACCAGGTCGTGACGGCGATACGTACAACGGATGCCGCTATTGTCACGTGGTACATGCCGCTGGGGAACCTGCAGCGTGTGCTGCACCGACGCTATGAGGCAGAGCAGTTTGGTGAACTGATGTTTTCATCAACGACCGCGGCGTCCTCCTTGACGGCGCGGCAATCTCCCAGCGAAGATGCGAAGGATGCGCCTAGAGCTGATGAGACCGCCCAGCTCGGCTTTGTCACCCTCATAGCGGGGAGGAACTACCCATTGAAGCAGACCTGGCTAGAACGCTGCTTTGACCCTGCGCCGCATCCAACACTGAGCCTTCGTGTCGCCGTGGTGGACCGTATTCACTGGCAACGAACCGTGTGGATGGCAAATTCCATCTGCCGGAGCATCTGTTGGGGGAGGCTGCCACAGAAAATTTTTTCCATCAACCTCGATTGGCAGAATGACGTGGCCATCGATGCCACATTTGACACCGCGGCGGATTGCTACACCGCACCCTATGAACTACGCGTTCCCGGCCTTGGGTTTCACTTGACGCTGCAGGACACGGGGAAAACACTTTTTGACCCGACGTCACGGGTAGTGGATGGGTTTCTTGACAATGAGAGTGCACTGCACCGTCTGGCGCTGGCCCGCGAAGTCAACATGCACGGCCTTGGTGGGTCTGTTTACCGACAGATGCTCTGGAGCACCCCATCGTTGCCGAACACTGCGGAGGTGTTGCGCTTTGACCCTGGCACACTTTTCAAGCGATGTTTTGGTGTGGACCCTCCCGTGACGAAGCCGGTGGCGGCGTGGCTTTTGCAGGAGGTGGAGGAGACGCTCCTGTACAAAATGGAGGGTGAGGTGGAGGATGAGAATGACCCCAACAGTGCCACGACATATGGTGACCGCTCACTGACCGAGCGTGTGCAGAAGAAGGCGATGAACCGGTATAACGGTTTTCGTGATGAGGTGCGTGGAAAGGTATACAGCGATATTGACGGGAAGGAACTGCCGCGGTAAGCGAAGCGCAGTTGGGCAGTTGTAAAAAAGAAAAGGGGGGGGGGAGGGTGAGGAGAAGGGAATCATCCAAAGAGGCAAAGCGTTTTATGCACGAGAGCTGCCTGACACATGTTTAGCCGCCGTCACATATATAACTCTGTATGCTTGTGAGTGTATCTCTCTAGGCGGTGGGGACGCACACAAACTTTGCATGGGGCGTCTTTTGTTGTTGTTTTTGTTTTTGTGGTTGCTTTTGATGTGACTTGCTTGCGTGTGTGCCCTCTTTTTTTTTTTTTGATGTGTTTCTCCCCACTACTACTACCACCACAACACAAAAAAAGGGTGGGTGGGAAAGGGCACTTTTTCCTCTTGTCGTGGGCGTGTGCTCTTCCCCTTGCCACGCATGCCCTACCGCAAGCAGATTGTGGGGAAGTATGAGTTAGGGAAGGTTCTTGCGTCCGGCTACTTTGACTGCCGGACGCGTCTCTGCACACACATTGTGACGGGGGCGCAGTACGCTGTTCGCATCTACAACAAGAGTGTGTTGGCTGAGGCTCAGTGGATGTGGGACCGCACCCGTGGCGCCATTCACGTCATGCGCACGTTACCCAAACACGACAACATCATTGAGACCGTTGAGTGCTTTGAGACACAGACATCGTTGTATATTCTCATGCAACTGTTCGCGCCGATGCAAATAACAAGGCTGTACACCACAGAAACGGCCACCGGACAGCGGGTGCTGGTGCCGATGCAGCAAACCAAGCACTACTACGCTCAGGTTGTTCGTGGACTACTTCATATGCATAGCCACAATGTTGTTCATCTTGGACTCGCACCGGATCACGTCATGGTGAATGATCGAGACCAGGTAAAAATAGGGTACCTTGTCTCCTGCACCTACTTCCCAAAAGGAAAATTATGTTATGATATTCGAGGAACGACGCACACTGTGGCCCCGGAAGTGCTGCAGAATGGGGGATATGATCCCTACCTTGCCGATGCGTGGTCCATGGGGGTCTTGCTTTACTTCATGCTTAATCAAGGCCGATATCCGCACGATGGGGCCAATACAACAAAGAATATTATGTATAATCGCATCCGCCCACCTGATCCCAACCTTCCCCCAGAGGCGAAGGACCTTCTTGCCCGACTACTGCATCCTACACCATCACGGCGCATGCGTGTTCAGAATATCATGTCTCATCCTTTCTTTGCCACAAATCATGGTGACACGGACATCGCAGAAGGGTGTTGTCCCGCGCGCACCGTGGGGACATCACCGGAGACACGCTACTCGCCTGACCTTGCCACGGGTGAAAGCACGTTAAACATCCGCATTCCATATGGTCTTAGCCGACAAGAGGAGGCCGCTTATATTATTCAGCACACGTATCGTGCCTACCTCGCCCGCAAACGGCAACAACTTCTTGTAGAAAAATCAGCTCTGGCAAAAGCCGCAGCAGAGAGAAACCGTAAAATAGGTTGTCGGTCGTCTGTGCAGGGAAGCGTCTCAGGCCGGGTGCTGAGACAATTTCAAAAACTGAAGGATGAGCAGGATCCTGTGACCTTGCGCGCAGAGAAGCGAGAAAGTCCGGGTTTAGTGGCCCCCCCTTCGCCCGATATACCACTGTTTGATGACGCAATTGTGGTAATTGCATCGGGAAGTGACACGTTGCGCGAGGACGATGAATCTCTGGCACTTCTCAGTGAGGGTCCAGAGGCGGCCTTGACGTCAGTCACCCCATCGACGTTGGAGCAGGCGGGAAAAACGTCATACGAGGCTTTTGGCACGCGCCCCCGTAAAAGCGCTTTGGGCGGCGGTGGCGCATCTCTCAGAAGAGGGGGCATTGGACGCCCCATGATGGCATCACTCGTTCAAGATAAAGACCTAAGTGCAGGTGTGGATGAAAAGAACTTGGAAACATTTGCTGCCTTCGTGTCAAACGTTGAGGTTGATCCGACCCGTCCATGTCCAGTGTGCCATCGACTGCCGATGCAGCGGCTCTGTGGACGTGCGCCGTACTTAAATACGCCGTTTGTGTACAAACAAGGGGAATTTATTCGGCGGGTTGAGGATGATTGAAATATCGCTTTATTGAAAAGAGGAAAGAGCACACACACACACACACACACATTCTCTCTCTCTCTGTGTGTGTGTGTGTGTGTGTGTGTATGTGTGTATGTGTGTGTGTGGTCCTCTTATTGTTGCTTTGTGGTTGTTCATGTTATTTGCCGAATGTATAGAATGAGAATGGGGAAGCGATTTCATGTTTACTGACTGTTGCGTTGGATAGTTTTTCGCTGGAGCGTATGAGTGAGGAAACGATTAAGGAAATGAAAATTGAGACACAGATGACGGTTTATGTTCACATATGTTATGTATGTATACTTTCTGTGCTTCCAGCTCTTACCTGCTTAGGAAGTTGGAAGATGTTCATCTGCATCATTTAGAAACCTACTTACGTACACAGTCATACCCAAAAGGGGAAGAAGAAGATTAGAATCCAATGGGGTTTTGTGCGTCACTTGCACTCACCGTGTTATTTATGCTTTGTGGCCTTGCGCCGTTCAGTATTGACTTCTCCTTTGGCAGCAGTGGGGTT